TATAGAACTTTATAACCTTAATTTCTATTGTTAAAAGAAAAACTTTCAAATTTTCATTCCTTGTCTTTGCTGTACAAATCTGCGAGTACACTTTTTAATTTGAAGACAAATGCTTGAACCCTCAGAGTATGACTACCACAGAATATCGAAATTGAATGAATCCCCAGGTCTGCAAAAGATATAGATTTATGCTTGATCCCAAGATCCAACGCACAAAATTCTGACTTCATTATTAAAGGGACATGTATCTTTTTTGATTGTGTACTGTACACTCTGGGAGGAATGTAAACAAACCCAGTGCCCCCATAGCATGCAGTTGAAGGGAAAGGATTGAACTCTGATAAACAGAGTGATTTTACAGTCCAAAAAAAAACTAGTTAATATATCAAGCTATTGCGGATAGAACTTAGTTATTTAAATATAATTTTGGCTTTCAGATTGAAATGGAAATTTTTTAATGCTCAGTGATATTTGTGCAACTCGTACAACTATAAAGGAGAAGCAAGGTAAAAAGATTCCCACTCATCCTTGTTTCCAAATTTAACTTTCTTTTAAGATTTAAAACCTTTCTCCTTAAGTACAGTCTTTTCTACCAATGTTTAAATCCATCCTTCCAATGTTTAAATTTTTCCTCAAAACGTTTAACCCTTCAAGATCGTAATCACTTTTCCCAACATTTGAATCTTTCTTTCTAAGGTTTACATCCTTCCTTCTAAGGTTTACATCCTTACTCCCAAGATTTAAGCTCTTCCTCACAAGGTTTACATCCATGCAATAGTTTCTTTATTCTAGAACCACATTGAAATGATAGAAGAAGAAGAACTATCACAATATGAGATATTTTCATTTTCCAAAGATTTAAATTTGTACATCTGTGTTGATGGATATTTTTTAAAATACCTATTTTCATAGTTGTTACTTCTAATCCTAAAGATAATTATCAAACATAAAATGCAACTTATTCTGAATCTTATTCCTTGAAAACGGCTAACTTTAACTGTTTTCAGGAACCTATGAGTGCGGAAAATTCAGCGCAAAAAAGTCCTCAAAACAGGCACTAATACATGTATGTGGGTTCATTGCCAAAAACTCCATACAAAAGTTCCCGGCCTTGTCTGAGTCGGCGAGGAGAAAACACTCTGTGATTGGATAGACTTAAAATCCAGAGGATCCTTGTTTTACCCATCCAAAGACCTATTGGAGGAAGTTGAAAAATATGAGAAAATATTTCAAAAAATACATGGAGAGTTTCTGCAGATAGAGGACATGATCCTACCGAAAAAACAATTTCCGCAAACAAAAGATGGCCTCGGGAGGTTGTAAACATTTTTGTAAATGTAAGATTTTTCAGTAAACTGAAAAAACTTAATGTAGGCTTGAAGAAAAATAGTTAAAAAATGTCAGAACAATGAAACAAACTGCTCAGTTTATGTTTTAGAATTATGATAACATTCTTTTCAATTTTTTTCGAATTTTATGTTAGAAGGTTTTATTTATAAATGACTAATGTTTAATTTCCCGAAAAAGTTTTTAAATGGTGAATCAGGCATATATCTTTATATGGGACACAATTACGTGGGCAGTCCTGTTAGACATTGACTTATGTCTGCTGTCCCTTTTGCATTGATTCCATTGGAATGAGAACTTATTTTTGCTTTTATTAAAACATCCGAATTTTACCATATAACGTTTCACAATTTGAATATAATCTTGGATATTATCATTTCTCTCTCCTGCCTTTAAAGCATATACTCTCAAGTAACAAATATTCTTGCGCTTTATAATCATTATTAATGTCTACGATAGCAATATATCTTATTATCCCCCCTCCCACATATTTGATGTTTTGCCCCTGAATTCTTTGTTTTGATCTCCTCCCACTGCAGTATACAGATTTGACGCATCAGATATGGCGGTTCCTGGTCTATATATTTCTTGGGTTAATGGTTGTGTATTTGCTGAATATGATTTATAAATAATATTATCAATTATATCTATTAAAATTAAAAATAAAAATTATAAGATTATAATTGAAGCAAACCAAAGTGAGGATTAGCTTCCTTTGCTATATATTTCTTGGGTTAATGGTTGTGTATTTGCTGAATATGATCCGTTTAAACCTTCAATTTTGATACAAAATTTTATATATACAGAGTTTCGTATAAATTTGACACAGTTTTATATCAATTTCTCGAGACAGGGACATCAGATAGAACTCTCATGGGTCTCGATCAACTTCTAAAATGCTTAGGTTTCAGCCTTTCATTTTTCCTTTACAGTCCCTTTAATTCTACAAAAACTATAAAATATTTCAGTTTTCTACTTGAAATTGTTTTAACGATATTGTAATGCATAACATGCTAGTGTAATATATTACTATAAACAGTTCCAGTCATGCAAAATACTTGAACTTCACAAAACTTTCACGTAAGTTGAAACTTTATCCCAATCATTGTTTGCCAAAAAAAAATTATATGATCAAAATTTGTGCAAGCTTGTTTATAATTTGGCAATATTATTAATAATTTTCCCTATGTTGAGAGAAAATGATATTTGCATGTTGTTCACAAATTGTACACTGCAATTTTTAGAAAGAAACATACGGATTTCTCCGCCGAAGTTTACCAGTCTGAGGTTTAAATTGCAAGGTTGTGAATCGAACATCTCTATGAATACAGAGGCCGAATTTAAAGAATTTGAGCCGCGGCTTAAATCCGCCAAAACCCGGTTTAAATTAAGCGCCGGCTTAAATCTTATACCAACCATATTTAAGCCGCGGCTCAAATTCTTTAAATTCAGCCTCAGGATCACTTGAAATTACGTCTACAGTCCCCTTTAAGTCTGATATCTCTGACAAGTGTGAGTTGAATTCCTTGCAAGAATTATTTTCAATAATTTTTTTGTTGTAAAATAACTTGGTAGATAACAATAGATAAATAAACGCTGGTGTACATTTCCTAGACACTATAGGACTGTAGGGGGAGGGGGGGTTGTGCCCCCCCTATTAGTATGGAGGGTGTGGGTTCTCCTATTGCTGAATGGTATACATATATCTAAATGATAGTTTATAAACGGGAATTTATTTTATAAGGTTATATCCCCGGAAATCGGCACATGGTTTATCGAAGACGACATTCATAATTTTTTACTTTGTGAGGTTTGGAGCATAATTAACGCTGAAATTTAAATTTATTTTAAAAATTTGTTGTCTTTTTCCCAATTGGAATTACTTTAATGTTATTATCTTTTTCTTTCGTGTGCAGAACTTATATAAAAATTAGGCATGAATATCCATTTATTATATCACGTAAAAATGAATGCTACTTTTTGTCTTTAAATATTCTAAATATAATAAAATATTTGAAAATATATAAAATCTAAATTTATGTCACGTGATTCGGAAGTTCATTTCTCCCCAAATACAGGTTTTTTACTCTCTTACACGCGGGTATAACAAGTTATCCTATGTACTGTTTTACAAATAATGTTTTTTTTAAAATTATTGCAAATATTTTGCCCTGATTTTCTTATCTTTTAATAAAATCTACGATTTAAATTTAGTTTAATATAATTATGTGCAATGGTTGGAGGCCACCTGGACGCTCACACATTTTTAATATTAAATATTTACGAAAATAAATGTGAGAAAGTCCCCTTGGTGTTTAACCCATCACCATGAACAGTTCTATACAGTGGTAAACGGGAGCTTAATACTGTTCAGTTTACACCATGAACAGTTTTATACAGTTGTAAACAGGAGCACTTATACTGTTCAGTTTACACCATGAACAGTTCTGTACAGTTGTAAACAGGAGATTAATTCTGTTCAGTTAACACAATGAACAGTTCTATTGAGTTGTAAACAGGAGTTCTTACTTTATACTGTTCAGTTTACACAATGAACAGTTCTATACAGCTGTAAACAGGAGCTTTATACTGTTCAATTTACACTATGAACAGTTCTATACAGTTGTAAACAGGAGCTTTATACTGTTCAGTTTACACAATGAACAGTTCTATAGAGTTGTAAACAGGAGTTTTATACTGTTCAGTTTACACTATGAACAGTTCTATACAGTTGTAAACAGGAGCTTAATACTGTTCAGTTTACACTATGAACAGTTCTATACAGTTGTAAACAGGAGCTTTATACTGTTCAGTTTACACAATGAAAAGTTCTATACTGTTGTAAACAGGAGCTTTATACTGTTCAGTTTACAAAATGAACAGTTCTATACAGTTGTAAACAGGAGTTCTTACTTTATACTGTTCTATCTACTTGATTATATTGCTTAATGCTGTTTTCGACAAATATTTTACCTTTAGGGGACTGTAGACGTTATTATATTTTATCTTAAAGGGACTGTAGACGGTATTATATTTTACCTTAAAGGGAAAGTAGACGTTGTCATATTTTACCTGAAAGGGACTGTAGACGTTATTATATTTTATCTTAAAGGGACAGTAGACGTTATTATATTTTACCTTAAAGGGACTGTAGACGTTATTATATTTTACCTTAAAGGGACTGTAGACGTTATTATATTTTACCTTAAAGAGACTGTAGACGTTATTATTTTTTACCTTAAAGGGACTGTAGACGTTATTATATTTTATCTTAAAGGGACTGTAGACGTTATTATAAAACAAACCTCATCCCCCTCCTCCCCCTTGTGATAGGCTTTAGGAGCTGGAACGTTGAAAAATTGCAACAATTCCATCAAAAATACAAAGAAAAAAGATTTCAGTAATTTAAGCTATTCCTAGTAAAGTGCTTTATAGATATTGATTTTTATGGATTTTTCTAAAAGATAATTTATTTTGAACTGTCCTCCATAACTTTTAAAAATGTAGTTTAGAAAATTGGGTTCTCTCTTTTGGGGCCTAGCCCTCCACTCTTCATGCCTGGAAAATATTTAAATAAAATAATATTAACAGAATTAAAAATAAAATTAACAGATTCACAATTTAACATTAGTTCACACTTTTTTATTTTTCACGAGCACTCCCTTTAATACTTTTGTTTAAAGATTATAAAATGCTGTTTGATGGATAATCAGAATGGGGTCATGCTTTAGTAGTTCGGACAAGGTTACAATTGTTTTTTACATGTTTACATGTAATCCAATGCATTGGATTTTTTATTTTATATTTATATTTTATTTGAAAAATCTTTAAACGTACCTCTTTTCACGTCAGGTTTTTTACAGTTTTATACTTGAGTAGAAGATATTCCATGAAAGTTTACATTCATATTTCCTTTGAAAAAAATAATAAATTAAGTGAATCTTTTTAAATCTTCCTGATCGAAACAATCTCATAGAACTGACGAAATTTATAAATATATAAATGTGGAACTACAGGGTGTCCCACGAAAAATGACAGTTGGTGAATAGTTTAAAATGTCTTCTTCCCTAATTTTGTTGTTTGATACCAAAGCTAGACAATAATAAAAATATTATATGGGAGTCATGTTACAGTAAAATTGATTTAAAAGTAAAATATATTCAAGCAAAAGATTTTTTTAACGAAATAAACTACAAAAAGCCTTTAATATTTAATACAGTATATGGAAGACGACATTCATATCTATTTATCAATTGTCATGTTTCGTGGGACACCCTGTAACATCTACTTTTTTTACTCTACAGAGATTTGGTCCATCACCAAATTTTAAAAAGTAAAAGAAATATTCTAAATACATAAAGTAGAAATCTCTGTTTGTCTTTTTGCCTGTTTGTATGGATGTCCGATCATAACTCAGAAACCTTTTTACTGATTTTCTATAAAATTTTGATTTTGGGAACCTGGGAGCACCACAGGAATAGTTTTAGTTTAAAAGTTAAAATAGCATTTAAATTTGGAGAGGTAGACACAACATTTAAGGAGAGATATATTTACAGTAAAATTCAAAAAAAAATATTCATAATGGTTTTTGTAACTTTGATCTGAGCTGAAAACTTTAGAATGTGATATCCTTAATCCCGATCGGTTAATTAATCTGGAGATTAATAACAAGAGGAGAACAAGCATTATTTAATCTTAAGATTAAGAAAAAGAGAGGATCAAGCATTAATCCCGATATCCACCATTCAAAAGTTCCCAGATCTGATCAGAAAATGGGTGAACATTTTAATTTTTTTACAACAATTAAGTATTTAATTAGGTGTCGTCGTTCTCACCTGCCCCCAGCAGTTCCAGGAGAACATATAGTAAACAATCCCTGGTCAGTCTCATCATCAAATTATTTATTCAAAGGAATTGAGTCTCTGCCAAGGCAAATTTTCTAATACCTCTCTCTTACCAACCCAATTTCCTAGACCCTAGATATTTCAAATTATGAATTTTTTTAAATCAAATGATCTTTGATATTTCAAAGTTTAAATCATAAGATTGCAATGATAGAGACTAGAGAGATTTGAAAATTTGAATTTGTGTCAAAGACTCAATTCCCTTTAGAAGTGCAGGAATCATCATCTCTCTTTGAGTTTTAACAATGGACAAATAGATTTTTAATCAACAAATTTTACAAGAAATAAAAACAATATTTCGACAGAATTGTTTGCAGAATTTTGAAAACCAAATAAATTCTCTTTGCAATTTTGTTCTTTTTAATCTACAGTAAATTAAAAATCTAGTTTAAAGAAAACATAAAATGTAACTTCGCAACGTTTTATTAAAATCTAGTGTCTGACAAATGATGATATAACACTAGAAAGATTAAATTAAAAATTTGTTCCTCTCCCTGATTCTAAAATATCTGAGCAGTCCCTTTAATTTTGTTTAGAAGTCTGATACTATTGTTCAAAACTTAGACACTCTAGAGGAGGTGGAGGAGGTAATATATAGATAGGAGTAAAAGTCGTCTTTGTTTATATTTTTAGAAGAAAATAAATCTTTTGTCGGCATTATTCGCGAAACAAAAGAACATTGTCCAGATTATGGTGTATATCTATACCTAAAATGTTTAGGAACATTTACAGAGTGTTTTTATAGCTACTAGCCTTAGAGGACACTTCGCGCCCATCTTCTAAATTAATTGTGAACATGTTCTTTTTGTGTACATCGTAAAACAAAACAAAAATAATTCGCGGATTTTCACAAAAATTTTCGTGGATTTTCAAAATTTTCAAAAATTTAATGAAGATCGAATTTTGATGGAGACAAATATTTGAAATTTTGACCATTCATAAACCTTTCCTGGGGTCACGTGATGTCCCACAAAAAATTTGGGCCCGATCGGTTCAGCAGTTTTGACGTTTATTGGATACAAACAAACAGACACCCAAACAAACAAACAGACAGACAAGCCAAATTTATATATAGATATGGATATGAAGTTTCACCGATCACACAAAATAATTATAGATCAGAGATGGAATTTAAAGAATTTGAGCCGCGGTTTAAATCCACCAAAACCCGGTTTAAGTTAAGCGCCGGCTTAAATCTTGAAACATTTGATACAATTTTAAGTGGAACCAACCATATTTAAGCCGCGGCTTAAATTTAAACCGCCGCTCAAATTCTTTAAATTCGGCCACTGATATATGTCAAATTTGGTTTTCAACTTAGTTATTGATTAACTTGATTTTAAATAATTGACTTGATTAATAGTCATTAATATTCATAAGTTAAAAAGTAAAAACTAAGCTTTAAAATTTACTTTTAATAATAAACTTTTTACTTATCAACTAAGTTTCCTCAATTAACTTGGTTTTCTTGTTTATCCACATAAAGGGAAGCTAACAAGATGACAATGCTGGATTTAAAACGGTAACCTTGAAACCCTAATCTGATGAAAAATGTACAAGAAAACGTGTTTTAATCTTATAATTTCTCTCTTTACTTTCTCATAAGCCAGACATGCGCATTATATTTCTTTTACAGAGAAACTCCAAATGATAATAAACAATTTTTTTTTAAACATTAAGTTTTTATTTATATTTAATTAGACAAAGCTCTTCAGGGTATCGTTGTAAATCGGGCATTGCCATCTTTGCTTGGAAGGAAACTTGAAATTACGCTCAAAGTCCCATATAATTATCTATTATTAGCTCAATTAAACTAATGTAGGTAGGAGGAGGAGCAAAATCTTCTAAATCTGCAAATCCTGGACTTAGGTTTCATATGATGAAGAAAAAAGCTGAAATAAAGTGAGATTTTGAAATAATCTTTGAACATGATGAAAAAAAGAAAAATAATTACATGTAACAAAATTCTTAAAAAATCAAAATTATCTTTGAAAATCAGACTAAATATGTATATATTTTCACTTTTGCATAGAGAAAATCAGACTAAATTAACAACCTCTCTAACGAATCCGATTGTAGACGGGGGAGTGGAAAAAAGGTATAATTCTTCTAAAAAGTTTTTTTTTTTGAAAAAACAAGTTTATTTGAAATACAATGAGTCTGTTTATGGTCATATTAAATGGCGATTTTTGTTTGTTATTAATATGGAATCTGAAAGTATGATACAGAATTAAAGACAATTGAATCACGTTTTAGTCTTTAATTCAACGATATCTTTGTTATTTTACTTTTTCATTTAAAACGTATAAAGCTACAAAAAAGTATTATAAGAGAAAATGAGAAATATTTAATTTCATTGGATCAAAATGGGATTAAAAGTCATAGCTTGCTGGAACAAGAACAGAACTGTTAGATCTGTTTAATCAATTTTCTTTAGAGTTTTAGAAGAAGATTCTTGGTTCCGGAAGGAGCGGGATAATTTAAACCGGAAGTTCAACACTCTGCCTCCCATAGAAGCAGGGAGGGTCGTGCGCGAAACCGGAACAGCATTTTATATTGATTAACGAAGAAAGACGACATTTAAAATATTTTGTTCTGTCTTAACCGAACTAGCATCGAAATAAATTCAAAATTAATATGATGTTATGAAAAGTTGAAATTTGGCCAGCTTAGGCCACCCTTCAAAAAAGCTTTAGGTGTTTACTGCAGTGATAGATAGATATATAGATATATTTTTGACTAAATATTTAATTTAAAACTATTTTAATTGCTCAATTTTTACATTTTAATATATAGCCAGGGCCTCTCTAACCATTGTTGGTTGTTTTGAATCAGAGTTTTGATTCCCAGTACTCCGATCGAAGTTAGAAGTTAAATGTTAGAAGCACAAATAAACTATAGAATAATATATTTAGAAGATTATTGTTTGATCTCTAGTACACTTTGAGATTGAACTTAGTATACAGAGTTACCTAGAAAACAAGAGAATACAAAGACGTCGTTATAGCAAAACTGAAATATATTTGATGTTGTCTCAAAGCAAATAGCTTTACTCTACACTTATTAAATCCCTAATATTGTGAAATGGGTCTGTCAACACGGCATTATTGAATTATTGCTCATTGGACTTTAAAAAGTAAAAACTGGATTCTAAAAGTCGTCTTCTTATTTCAGAGTTTTCTGCTTCTCAGTGTTTTTAGTGATATTTAATGATATTTAATTAAAATGTGCATACATAGAATAGAACAGAAAAAAATAATAGAATAGAAGAGTTCGAATAGAAAAGTATCAAAGAAATTAATTTCGAAACATACAGAGCGTCCCATATCATATTAGATTATCTCCAATCTTTAGCGCCAAAATACGCACAAAATACTCGAAATATCTAGCATATTCTGCAAAAAAAAATGTTCTATTAGCCTAATTAAATTTTTCAAAATAATTCATTCTTCTTAATTTTTCTGATTTGTCCCACAAATCGTAATTTAGACCCATTGACGTGGTCTAATTTGATGTGGGACACCCTGTATATATTTCAATTTTCAACTACATTTAAACCCTAAATGAGCCATATATCGAAAGAATTTAACGAATGTCGTTTTTACAATTTTTCAATGGGTTTGATACTATTTCACGTAAATCTCAGTATTTGCGAAAATAAATAAATAGTCATGAATATACGGTAACAGTTTTAAAGAGCTCCATCAGTAGCGTACACAGGGGGGGCAGTAGTCCTCTTGCCCCCCCTGGACATCCCAGGGGGGGGCCTGCCCCACGCCCTGGGATTTTTGAGCAAAGGTAAAAATCAGGTGTTCTGGGTAAAAAAAGAGCTTGCCCTCATCATCAAAGGGGTGTTTTCCCCCTTAAAAAGTATAATTGAAAATTTTCTTGCCGCTTCGCGCCATTTATTTTCAAAATTTACCGTAGTATTTCCCTTTTATCTAAAATCTCCGCCCCCTCCCCGCATACTTGATAAACAACTACTACTCAGAACTTCAGAGGGGAATACAGAACTATAAAAATGGATTCATTGTAATATGTAGTCCTTGAATTGGGACTAAAGTCGACTGTAAAGGGGAATAGTCTCAGGAAACTACTCAGGACTTCAGAGGGTAATACATATACAGATATATGTAGTCCTTGAATCGGGACTACAGTGGACTAGAAAGGGAGACTACTCAGGACTCCAGAGAGTAATACAGAACTAAACAGAGGGATACATTGTAATATATAGTCCTTGAATACTAAATGGGCCACCTAGGGGACATGTAGTAGACTTAGTATAGAATAACAGCATTTTTAAGGCCAGGGGGGGGAAATCGCCCAGGGGAGGCAAAAAAAAATGTTTCGAGCTTCGCGCGAAAACTTGCCCCCCCCCTGGCTTAATCTCTGTGTACGCGCCTGAGCTCCATAAATTCATTTAATTAAAAACTAAATATCTGCAACATTCCATTATAAGAAAGTGAAGAATACGACATTTGATGAATTCTTTCGATCTCATGGCTTATTTAGGGTTTAACTGCATAAGATCTGACAGAATTAATCGTTTGAAATATTACGACACTTGGTTTCATAGATATGAGGATTAAAAATCAGACTTGTTGCAAGAACTCTGTTCCTTTAAAAATAAATCAGTGTGTGTGTACATTGGTCGGCGTTAATATCATACTATGAAGACGACTTTTCTATCTAAGTTTTTATTTTTAACAATTTGTTTTTCAAATTTAAAGTTTACAAGAAAACAGAGAGAAACTGTAAATTGACAGCTTCTCGTTGTTTCCATGTTTCTTCTTTATAGTCTAATCCTTTATGGGTACCCTGTATGTATTAAGATACTTGAACGGAGAAATATAATATGATTTCTAGGGTTTCCAATGNCCATCTGAAAATCTCTAAGGGTTGAATAAGCGCATTGAACTAATTGACCAGTTGAAGCAACTGCTAGATTTCCCCCCCAGGTTCTATATGTTCCATATGGCCGGGAGCATTATTATTACATAGTAGAGTCTAGGTTATGCTTGGCTCATGCATTTTCTTCCAGAAAACCACGGAATTATACAAACTACAGGGGAGTATATTCTCAACGCTAAAAAAATGTTAAAGGGAGTGTTCGCGAAAATGAAAGGCGGGTATAGGATAACATCGAATCGAATTCAATGGCGATTGCTTAAAAATATTTTTTATATGTTTCATATACAATATACTTTAAACGACGATTATTTGGCCGCTAGGTGTCTCTCCCACGATCTCTCCTGATCCTGATCACTTTGATCACGTTGATCACTTTTAATTGCAGTTTCTCTAAACAAGTGACTCGCGGATTTGAACAGTAGTGACAAGAAAAGAAACTGACAGAATAATTTTTTTTTTTTGGATAGAAATACGTTGATATTTTCCTTATTGTTACTCAGGTAAAATTTAAAGGTTACTGTTGTAAATCGTCATGTCACTCTTGAAACAACGACGACAGAAATTGCAACTGTACAATTTAATCCTGTTTACAATGGTCAATCGGCAACGAAGACGAGCTAGAAAATGTTGTAGATTTTTTACTGCGCATCTTTAAGAATTGAGTTATTGTGTTAACAGGAATACTTGAAATAAAAAGAAACACAGTTTTGAAAAGTAATTTTGTTTTTAAACTATAAAACAAACGTCACAATTTATAATAAACATTTTTACACGTATTTTTAACATTTCTACAGTTTTCCAAAAATACTGATTGAAAATATATCCATCCCTGATTTACTGATTATTTGCATACATACTCCAGATGCCAAAAAGAATTACACGGTGGTATTTACATCTCCGGCATTCAATCTCAGAGGGTTGAACAGTGATCACGGAGTCTTAAAAGTACTCATAGAGTCATTTTAGTACTGACGGAGTCATTAATGTATTGACGAAGTCATCATAGTACTGACGTAGTCTTAAAAGTACTGAAGGAGTTATTATAGTACTGACGGAGATTTAAAAGTACTGGCGGAATCATTTCAGTACTTACGGAGTCTTAAAAGTACTGACGGAGTCTTAAAAGTACTGTTACGTTATTACCATAAGAATACTGAGTCATAAAAATATTGACGAAGTCAAAAATATTTAGAAACTTATAAGTAAATATTAAAAAGAAATCAATGCAAGTCTGGTGACGAGAACGTATAGTGAATTAAAGAAAAACTAAAGAAACTCAAATTCACTAAACGTCAATACTAAACTGAACCAGTATCAGAAGAAATATAAAGAGTACTGAATGCATTTTTATGATCTAAAGATGAAGAACTTTGCTGCTTTTGCGATTTTCATACTAACGTTTAGTCTAGTAGTTCAAGCTAATCCTCAAGATCAAGCTAATCCTCAAGATCAAACTAATCCTCAATATCAAGCTAATCCTCAAGATCAAGCTAATCTTCAAGATCTTCCTAATCTTCAAGATCTTCCTAATCTTCAAGATCTTCCTAATCTTCGGGATCTTCCTAATCCTCAAGATCAAGGTAATCCTCAAGATCATGCTAATCCTCAAGACCACGAAGATCAAGAAGAAGTTCAAGACGGAGATCATCAATATCATATAGATCATGGCCATCATAGAGTTGAAGGAGTTCAAGATGGATATTTCTTCAATGATTCTGTTTTAGGGAAACTATCCTCGAAACCCTACCTTAAAGGGACTGTTAATAAAAAAGAATGGGGGTATAGGCTGAAACCTAAGCACTTTAGTAGTTGATCGAGATCTATAAGAGTTCTATTTGATTTTCTGTCTCGAGAAATTGATATACAACTGCGTATTTGCTGAATATGATATGCGTAAAACTTAGATTCTTTTACACAATCTCACATATAAAGGTTTTGGTATAACTTTGACATAGTTATAGGTCTCGATCAACTCCTGAAGTGCTTAGGTTTCAGCCAATACCCCCATTAACTTTTCCCTAACAGTAAAATGAAAACTACTTTACATACTTAAAGTATAAATTGTATTTCTGGATTCTTCGCTGAATGACAGTCCTAAAAAGCAACACCCTATTTTAGAATTATTGAACCCCCCCCCCCACACCCCTAAGATCTCAGTAAACTCCCATTTAAACCCTATAATAAGCTGTACCTCAACCCCCCCCCCTCGTCCGTCTGTATAGGGTTAATTTGACGATAAACTATTTGAACCAAAAACTAGAAATATTGTTTTGTAAATTAACCACAAACTTTTTTTCCCTGTAACCGCCATTTTCCATTAAATCTAATCATTCAAAACGTTTTCCAGCGCTTAATGCAAAACTATTGATCAATCATCCTGCAAGTTCGAATTTAATGAATTTGAGCCTCTTCTCAAACCCGCCAAAAACCGGTTTTAATTGAACACCGCCTTACATCTTAAAACATTGAATACAATGGAACCAATCATATTTGAGCCGCGTCTCAAATTTAATCCGCGGCTTAAATTCTTTAAATTCGGCCACTGGACTATCTTATCTTTGAGTAATAGTGTTAGCAGAGAGTGAGTTGGAATATGCAAATGAAGACGACTTTCAACAATTAGGATCAGGTAGCATAATTACAATTGATTTTTAAAAATTATTTACAAAATTTTGAACTTTTTTTATTAGAGTCCTTTTTAATTGATTAAACTATTTAAGGAGCTCGGTTCGGAGACTCTCAGGGGTTTACAGTTCAGGATATTTTGGACCCAGGATCCCAAAAAAACCAAGTTCTTCAGGCCTTTTCAAACCTTCCACTGATACTTGATCAATCAAATCAACACTTGATTGATCAATCATTGTTCGATCCGGAACTCATTGATCAACCGGCTGATCAATTTGTATTTGATTTGTCACAACATAATCAATCGGATGAAGAGGATAATAATTATTCTGTTAGGTAAAAATAAACTACAGGGTTACCCACAAAAGATGAGACAGAAAATACGACCTAGGATTCGTATAATATGAGATCCCTAGTTTTTTATCTGACATATAATCTTTATATTGATTATTTAATGATTGGGAATATACGGAAACAGACAGTAACAATTCTGTACAGTCGTCTCTGAAGTCTCATTCTGTGTGTTGAATATGCACGGTTTCATAACTTCTGGCTTGTGTATATATGTATAAAGGTTATAAAGGTTAAAATGGACATTTGCGGATACGTTTAGAAATCAGTTCCTACCCATATGCAGGCATGACAAATCAAATTTGTTCAATCTGTTAGATCTTCTTGCGTATTCATACTTCCAAGTTCCAAGTCAAATCATTTTGGATTTTTAAACGTTTCATCTGTCATATTTGAGACTAAACATTTTGCGCATTTCATTTCTAAAAATCTTTGTAAAATTCAAAATATTTACTTTTTGCTCTTGACTAAAACTAAAGAATGATAAAGTTTAAATATCAGGTGAGGAATAGATAGGATTTTTTTCAGAAAACATTGACATCATCTTTTTTTTAGAATATACTCCGAGATACTTTTTATTTAACCGAAAAAAGACGACATCATCCCCATGTTTTCTTATTACCACTGTGCACATCAAAATAATTTATTCCAATTATTTTTTGTAAGAATTATTTATTTCAGTGCTACTGATGCTGATTGGTCCGACTTCAAATCAAAGGTGTAAAAATATTTTCATTCTAAAATAAAATCTTTTAAAATTTGAAGACGCGGAAACATCCTGACTTGGTCAAAATCATTTTCAATGTTGATTCAGAAATTATTTTTAAAAATGCAGTTCACACCTTTATCTGAGACTAACTTAAGAACCCGGCGTTACCCAGGGTTCATAGTTTCTCTCACCGTTTTCCCGCGCTTGGTCGTAAATCATGATTTTAACTATTTATACCTATACAAGTAGACCCACGCAACTTAGTTCCCCAAACAAAGTTTAAGTCAAATCGGTTAAGGGGTTAATGAGTTATGATCTGACATGCAAACAGACAAACTGAGATTACAATTTTGTATAAAGAAGTAACGGGCCGACTTTAAAGAAGTTAGAGCAAGCTGTAGAGACTAAAATGAATCAGCCCCTTTTCGTGAAATGTATGTGGCAATGTGCCTTACTTACATGAATTAATGTTTCTTTGATAAAAGACCGAATTTTTTTTATAAAACAATAAAGAAATATATTTAGGACCGATTTTCCGGCACTCTCGAGGAGATGATGGAATCTTTGATGGATATTCAGAGAAGAGGTGACAGGTAGGTCCATCCACGCCAAACTAACTATACAGGTAGGTCCATCCACGCCTAACTAACTAGACAGGTAGGTCTATCCACGCCAAACTAACTAGACAGGTAGGTCCATCCACGCCAAACTAACTAGACAGGTAGGTTCATCCACGCCAAACTTACTAGACAGGTAGGTTCATCCACGCCAAACTAACGAGACAGGTAGGTCCATACTGCAAGGATATCCAAAAAATCTTTCTTTCATTTAAAATTAGAAGAAAAATGTTTAATTTGAAAGATGGAGGAACAGAAGAAAATAAAGATCAATAAAATAAGAAATGTCAAAATATTTTCATCTGATATCATAAAATATTTAAAGAATATTGTAAAAAAAAATATTGTTATTAATAATTTATTTTTTATTGGATAGAATGGTGCAGGGTATAGAACAACAAAGGAAACTACTGGATTCTCTAGATAAAGAGGTAAATTATATTTTTTATTCCATTTTCTGTGTATTTTCCTGTAATTTGAAAATCTTCTGGGATATTATTTCTCATAATTGTCCTGGGACATTATGAGAAATAATGTTCCAGAAAATTTTCTTTTCTGTTTGCCTTAGTTCACCATAATAAGCCAAACAAACAATTGTCTTTCTAACAATCCAATAAGGAGTAGAAGAATCAGCATCCAAAATAAACTGTGGGATTATACTTGTGCTGAACACATTAACCTTTAGTTTGATATCAACATCAATGCTTTTCAGAAGATTGTTACTCTGCAGCACTGTTAAGGATTAAATGAATATTTTCCCTATGAAGCAGAATATATCATACTGTAGATTATCCTAAGACTGGATAAAGCCATTCCTTTCTCCTCCCTAAGATGTCGAACAAATTGTAATAACTCATGTTCCGTTGGTGGTCTGGACTCCAGCTCATCTCCAATAGTCTCTGAGTTGATTGAAGGCCCTCAGATAGTTTTTTCGGCTGCCTTCCTTGATCTGTATTAACCCCTCAGAATCTGAGAAGATAATTGATGAATCTAACATCTTCCTAGATCTGTATCAACCCCTCAGAATCCGAGAAGATAATTGATGAATTTAACATCTTCCTTGATCTGTATCAACACCTCAGAATCTGAGAAGATTATTAATGAATCTAACATCTTCCTTGATCTGTATCAACCCCTCAGAATCCGAGAAGATAATTGATGAATTTAACATCTTCCTTGATCTGTATCAACACCTCAGAATCCGAGAAAATTATTGATGAATATAACATCTTCTTTGATCTGTATCAACACCTCAGAATCTGAGAAGATTATTAATGAATCTAACATCTTCCTTGATCTGTATCAACCCCTCAGAATCCGAGAAGATAATTTAGAAATAGTTTTCGGTTAAAATTTAAGCCTTTAAATCACTCACTACTACTTTCGGGATTTCAAGGTTTTTTATTTTAACCTCAAACAAACTAAATTAAGTGAAAATCCTGGCAAAGATATAATTTCCCATAGTGTGTCAAAAGGCAGTTGTATAAATAGATATTTTAAAAATAAATTTGTAAATTGTTGCTTTTATTAAGAGAGGCATGCAATCTAAAGAAAAGCCATGATGCTTTTTAATTTTTGTCTTTTTAAGGAATTGAGTCTTTGCCAAAATTTCAAACTTTTTAATTAATTTAATTTCAAACTATGATAAATTGATCTATCAGAATTCATAGTTGAAATGCCTAAGGTTTACAACATTGGGTTGCAAGGATAAAGGGATTAGAAAAAAGAAATTTTTGGCAAAGACCTAATCAATTCCTTCTCTTTTTTGCAAACCTAATATGCCATGAAGAGTCTATAGTTAAAGCTCCGAAATAAATGTTCAGGCTGTAATATTAAACCCGGTTCCAGGTCGTTATTAAAGTTTTAAAAAATTTCCAGTTTGTCGAATTTTCAGGTTTAAAAAAAATGAAAATAAAAAATTTTCTTCGTGTCGAAATTCGTCTTTCTTTTAATCTAACGCGACTTCTTTTACTGATTTCTATATATACTATATAGGTATCTTATGAGAAAGTTCAACTTGAAGAAATTATGAGAACTAGAAAGGCCGAAGAAGAAATACTTGAAAAAATAAGAGAAGAAAGAAGAGAAGAGGAGAAGGTCTTGGAAAGTTTGTTAGAGATTAGAAGAAGTGAGGAAAATATTATGCTTGAGATGGAGTTGAGGAAGAAAGAGGAAGAGGAGAAAATACAAGAAATGCAAAGAATGAGAAATGAGGAAATGGCTAAAATGGAGGAATTAAGTGGAATAATCAATCAAGAACAAGGAAAACTGGAAAAGGTAAGCTTGTCCTTATATTAATATAAATATATTAAAATAATCTTTTATCTTAATCTTTATTTTGAGAAAAATTAGTTTTATACCAACTTTTCATAATCAACATTTTACGTTTGGACATTATTTGAATTCTGACAGTAAAAATGTTTAATGATGATTTAAAAATTTTCAACCTTTCATTTTGAGGGATTGCAAGTTCCTTAGCAAAGAACTATTCATGTAGAAATTGACATTTCCCCAAGATCTCAAGTTATAGCCACTCCCCTTCCCCTCCCGTCTAGTTTTTTTTGCTATACTACTTTAATTTTCGAAACTTTCATCTCGAAATTTTCTCGACTTTGTTTTAACCCATAGGAAGNGGTACAGGGTGTCCCACCAAACATGACAGAAGAAATCCTATACAGGTACAGGGTGTCCCACCAAACATGACAGAAGAAATCCTATACAGGTACAGGGTGTCCCACCAAACATGACAGAAGAAATCCTATACAGGTACAGGGTGTCCCACCAAACATGACAGAAGAAATCCTATACAGGTACAGGGTGTCCCACCAAACATGACAGAAGATATCCTATACAGGTACAGGGTGTCCCACCAAACATGACAGAAGTATACCTGCATTAGATATCCGCATTTTGTAGTGAACCCACAATTGAAAATAAACAGTTTTCAAAGTTAAAAAATGTTAATATTCAATTCATACGTGTTCAAACAAAGCTTTTAAGGGCATTGACATCTTTGCATGGAGGGTCACGTGATATTATGCAAATAATCTTCAAAACTGAAAAATTTCAGTAATTCAATACATTAGTTCTATAGCAATTACAAAAACCCTAATGACATTTAATAGTTAAAGGAAAAAACTAGCAATTTTAAAGGTTGTTCACATCTCACTTACTAGCAATATAGTAGGGTACCCAAAAAGGATGAGACTTTAAAGACGACCTAAAACTTTTAAATTTTAATTAAAAGGTATTGAAGATTGGAGTTGGGTTATGAATATAATATGTCATGGCATAATACATGATTTTGCAATAAAAAGGACAGAAGACATTCCGTACAGTCGTCTCTGAGGTCTCATCCTTTTTAAGTAGCTCTTTTTCTTCAAATTAACCAGCAGTGGTATCCCAAAGTGTTCGGCTAAAATGACGACCTGAAAACTTTTGAAAAAATTGTTTTCTAATCTAGGATATCTGATGAGGTTAAAACTTGTTCTCTAATCTAGGATATCTGATGAGGTTAAAACTTGTTTTCTAATCTAGGATATCTGATGAGGTTAAAACTTGTTTTCTAATCTAGGATATCGGATGAGGTTAAAAATGCTGAAAGTACCAAATCTGTATTACTGCGTCAAATACAGGTAACTCAAAACTAAAACATTTTTTACCTCGGTTGTATCAGTCATAATTGTTGATAAAAAATGTTTTCTATTAATTTACGAAATGCAAAAAAAAAAACTATTCCGGTCATTCTAAAATAATTTTACATTTTTTTTTTACAGATTGCCATCTTTATTTTTTAGGATTTGAATAAAGAATTGAAGGGTTTGGAAACTTCCGTAGGAAAAATACAGAGGTATTTTGTATTAAAGTTTAAAAAATGTATTAAGTGCGAATGTGATTCACTATCCCGTTTTTTTTTAAATACAATTTTTATGTTTATAATAATACTTATGTTAAGATGGGGGGGGGGGGGGGGTGTTTCCCCTCCTGTATTTTTTTCTTAATAAAATATTATGCAAAAATCATTTTTATGCATAGGGTAGAATGGAGGACGGTCAAACGGCTGGTTGGTGTTTCATTAAAATCCAAAACTGTGGCAACTTATAAAGAAATATATATACTGGAATGAGTCTACCCGAGTTTCATTAAAGTCAGTCCTCCGACCTCTATAAAACAGTATAAAAACTATTTTATTGTAAATATTTGTCAAAATTAATTTACATAATCGGGGTAGAGTTAAACGTGGATAAATGTGAAGTTAATGCATTTTCTAAATTATCAGGCTTTCAGAACCCTTCGCACCCATCTTCTATTTCAGTTTTAAATTGTGGCAACATCTGTAAGCATTTTCTTTTCGTATACAATATAAAAAAGAACACAATTTTTTTGCAGACATGTTTCTAGCATCCATAAACCTTCCTTCCCTTCGGCCTTGTGAGGTCCCACCAAAAATTAGAGTATCTGTACTTGAAATTAGTTTACATTCTCTTTAAGGATCGGGGCCGAAGAGAATATTCTGGAAGAACAGATATCTTCAAGAACTACAGAACTACAAGTTTTAAACAAGAAGATACAGGTATACTACAAATAGTAATTAGATTACATAATGTTAAGTAAGTTTTAAATATATATTTGTCTGATATTAAAACCTGCAAAAAAAAATACAATAAATTACATGGAAAACATTTATAGCAACATGAAAGAGTTTGCTTGGTTCTTAGCAATGAATTATATATAAACAATGAGCAATAAAATTAAATGCATTTAAAATATAAATGAGCAACAACTTGAATGAAAATTTATTGTGTAACATAAAATGGTTTAAAATATCTCAGAGTAGACTTTAGCAAACTTAGATATGAAAGAATTTGCTTGGTTCTTAGCAATGTATTACATTTAAACAATTAGCAATAAAATTAAAGAATAATAAAAATAAAACTTATTTACATCAGCCGAAAAAAAGGGACCCACAAAAGTAGAGGAACATTTAATTGAATGAATAGTTACATACTTCTGAAATATTAAATGGTATGCTCACTTTTAAATAATTTTTAAACAAATTTAAACATAGTGTCCCCGGGTCCCCGGAATAAAGTTTTTCGATGATTTTCAAAAAAAAAACATTTTTAAATGCAAATGATGTTATTTCTAACGTCATCAATAAATCTTCTCTGGGATCATGTGAGGTCCCATTAAAAAATTGGGCCCGATCGAGTTAGTCGTTTTGACGTTTATCGATGACAAACAAACAAACAAATAGCTACAAACAGACAAGCAAAGTTATAGAAGAATGAAAACACATAATTACGATCTTTAGGATCGGAAAATTGAACTAGAGAAATACACAAAGGAAATACAATTATCAACCACTAACCTCAAGTAAGTGTACAAAACTTTATACGCCTCAGATAAGGAATATTGGAAATTAAAGGCGCTTCTTGCCTTTTACTTAGTAAAAAATCTTCATTAAGCCACGTCGGTTCCTGCACATTAAACCCAATGCAATTTTCTCGATGCAAGCTTTTTGATTTGCTGATCTTGTTACGTGATCTCTCACACAATTCAAATCTTTTTATTTTCAGATATCTTCTAGAATTCTAAAATTCTAGATCAAATTTTTAGATCAAATTTCTAGATTAAAATTCTAGATCAAATTTCTAGGTCTAATTTCTGACATTCTCCCCGAAAACAGAACAAATTTGATTTAAATTTTTGGGACCCCCCACCCCGTTAATTCACGACAAAAACCTGTATTTTTGAAATCGTGAACGAAGTGAACGGTATTGAAATACAAACTTAACAGTTAATAAAATAAAACTAACAGATGTGTTTCAAAATAACAATTTGTCCAGCTATTTTTACATGAAATAATCGTTAACGGCTCGTTAACGATTGGCCCAACTAATGGTTTCTGAAATATCTTCAGTTAACAACGTAAAAATGAGATCGTTAACCAACGGGAAATGATAAGAAAACCGTTAACGAACGAACCGGTCCATTCTCAACTAAATAACGAATGTCTACCTGTAAAGTTTTTGTTTTTAACGATGAAAAAGTCTGAATATGCCTAACCCTCCCAAACAAATGTTTGTATTTTACTTCTAGTGATCTAAGAACAAATCTAACAAAGGAGAAGGAAATACTGGATAAAACTTCATCCATCAGGGAGCAATCTAGATCCATTGATTGTGTATGGGTTTATGGAAGATGAATATATGGATTAAAGCCAATTTTTAAAAAATTTACAGAACTACAAAACTGTACACTCAGTAGTCTATATATATGTACTCTATGATTGCTGTATTGTATACTCAGTACTCTGTATATATATGTACTCTATGATGGCTGTATTTTATATTCAGTGCTCTATATATATATATGTACTCTATGATTGCTGTTCTGTACACTCAGTACTCTGTATATATATGTACTCTATGATTGCTGTATTTTATACTCAGTGCTCTATATATATATATATGTACTCTATGATTGCTGTACTGTACACTCAGTACTCTGTATATCTATGTACTCTATGATTGCTGTATTGTATACTCAGTGCTCTGTATATCTATGTACTCTATGATTGCTGTATTGTATACTCAGTACTCTGTATATCTATGTACTCTATGATTGCTGTACTGTACACTCAGTACTCTGTATATATATGTACTCTATGATTGCTGTACTGTACACTCAGTACTCTGTATATCTATGTACTCTATGATTGCTGTATTGTATACTCAGTACTCTGTATATCTATGTACTCTATGATTGCTGTATTGTATACTTAGTACTCTGTATATCTATGTACTGTATGGTTGCTGTATTGTATTTTCAGTAATCTGTATATATATGTACTCTATGATTTCTGTACTGTACACTCAGTATACTCTGTATATCTATGTACTATATGATTGCTGTATTGTATACTCAGTACTCTGTATATCTATGTACTCTATGATTTCTGTATTGTATTCTCAGTACTCTGTATATCTATGTACTCTATGATGGATGTATTGTATACTCAGTACTCTGTATATCTATGTACTCCATGATTGCTGTAATGTATACTCAGTACTCTGTATATCAATGTACTCTATGATTGCTTGCACAGTATGATAACGAATCAGTCTCCACCCTTCATAATCCCTCTCTTAGCAATTTCAGTCCTAGGTGAGACATTAAAAAAAAATAGAATAAAACAATTAATAACATATCATGAGTAAAAAACAGGATTTCATCAAATTTCGTCAAAAATTGAATGAGATATAAATGTAAATGTAAATGTTATTAAATAGTTCGTTAGAACTAGCTGTTTCAACTTCAAAAATACAATTAATTGGTTTAAATTTTTTTAAGAATTTGAAGAATTGTGCATTAATGAGGTTTTCTTAGAACTACTACCTTTTTGTTTGCAGGCAATTTATTGGGAGGAGGGTATATAGCAACAACACTACTATCTGATACATATAGGTAATATTTACAGGATTTGGTGATATCGGACATCGTGGCTTATTTGTTTTTATAATAATATCTTTCAAATAGAAATTCTACAAAGAAGATCACTTTAGATATCATGTCTACTCTTTTTAATTTCAAATTGAGAACTTTAAACTTATGTTGAAAAAAAGCTTTTTTATCTAAAACTAGGTTGAGAACCCAGCGTTGTCCAGGGTACTCATAGTTACTCCCGCCATTTACCTGCGTGGACCCACTTCACTTAGAATCTCAAAACGAAGCTAAAAATATTCCCGTGGTTTTCCCGAGTTCCCCAATCAAATTTTGAGGAAAACATGTCAAGGGGTTCTGAGTTATATTCGGAAATAAAAAAATTAAACAGAGATTACAACTTTATACAGGGTGTCCTTTTAATCTTGCCAATTTTCAATTTTGTTGTATACAATTAAAATTTACAATTCTAATACCAAATCAACTATTTCATTTGAGCCATATTCCAATAAAGTGGTTTTTAAAGAAGCCAAGATTAGCATGGTTTAGAACTATTCTTCTGACAAAGGATTAACTCAGCCTCGCAAGGATTACATTAACAAGAAGACTGTATAGTGAAAGCCTTCAAAAGAGTGATTGTTGAGATTGAGATTGTTAATGAGAATCTCAGGAGATACTCTGCTGAGGGTTGCTGATCATTTTTATACCAGAGCCAAACCATGCATTAAAGAAGAAGGTGGCTATTTTAAATATCTGTTAAAGAAAAAGAAGTAAACCAATTAGTATAGCAAAACGTTCATATTTGTAGATTAAAAATGTTATTTTAAAAAATGTTACATATTTTAAAAAATGTTATATATTTGTGTTCATTATTAAGGTTTAATAATTGGCACAATTAAAAGGACTCCCTGACCAGAGGCGTATTAAGGGGGGGGCTATTGGTGCTAAGCCCCGCCCTGGACCAGCATGAAATCTATTGATTTCAGGGGGTTTCCATGCCCCAACGGGTGCTGAGCCCCCCCTGGAAAAATTCCTGAATACGCCCCTGTCCCTGACCCCTGTAAATATAGAAGCTTTCTTTTAGGCGCTCTGACGTGGATGAAATAATTCAATTGATCCCATCTTCCACCAATCAGGAAATCTTTCAACCTCCAATGTTCTGGTTTATGTATTTTGTGTGAACTCACTAGGAACTTATGTTTTGGATACACAGTAGCCCGATTCCTTGATCTCGATATCCACTGTGTGTACTTTTAATCTAAGATCAATGCTTAATCTATTCAAATTTCAGTTTTTCATACCCAGATCAAAGCTTCCTATAACAACCCAGTTTAGTTTCGATTGGCGTGCGGGATATCGAATAAAGATCGAATAAATCTGCAGATTAACAAAAGTTCGAGATCAACCATTGACCGATCGATGTTCACAATACAAGAGTTCCCAGTTCTGGTTATTTAGTATTTAGTATGATCTCAAATCAAATTATCCAATACTATCAAATATTTAGTATGATCTCAAATCAAATTATCCAATACTATCAAATATTTAATGTGGACATCCTAGCCGGCTAAATTAGTGTTTACAACTTACAAGCAAGACTAATAGCTTTCAGCATAATTGAAAGGATTAAATATAGAATGGAGGTAAAAACCAGAAGAATTTAGAGGATAATAATGATGTTTGGGCGGAGAATTCGGATAAAATGGCAGAGTCTGCGAATACCTACGATGGGATTGCGGAGGATGTTTTTATGAAAAACTACCAACAAATGCAAGAGAAAAGATTTACAAGTATTCACGCTCCTGAGGCGTATTATGATTTACCGAGATACTTTTAGAATATATTTTCTTAAAAATTTTTGTTTTCATATTATGGAAAAAGCGATGATTTCAAGATTTTAGCAATCTTTTAAATGATCCTATGTTTTATGAATACCATGAAAAGTTTGTAGATAATAAAATATCCTGTCTCAAGAATTAGAGAGCCTTTGCTTTCAATCCCGTTTTTACCCATTAAATGTATTTTACAAAAATCAACGACGGTTTCTATAAGCGTATTTATTTTCATGTCATTCAAAATTTTATTAAATGTATTCCAATTAATGCTTCATTTGAGAAATTAAGGCGGTTGTAAATTTTTCTATTTAAGAATAAAAACTTTACAAATTTTTAAAAAAGCGACTTATGCCGTACACATTTTATCTAGCTGCAACGACAACAATCCAGGCCGAGTGCCGCGGCTAGGACTGGCTAGGAGGGTCGAGCACTGCAGCCTCATGTATAAATATGCCATATATTTTATTTGTTTATAAAATATTTGTATATTTTGCCTGTTTGTCCTACTTTTTGACCTTATGTCGTCTAACTCTTTCTTGCGTTTATGTTTTTTTGTCGCTACTCGTTAGACTCTAAACTTTTGACCCTATGACGTTTGACCCAAAGGCATTTGACCCTATGTCGGTTGACACAATGTCGTTTGGCCCTAAAGCACGAGACCCTTGGCCGTTTGGTCCTAAGTTGGTGAATCTACTTTGTACAAAAACTAGAACCCGGGACCCGTTAACATAAAGGGAGTGTTCGCGAAAAATGAAAGGGGGTATAGGTTTAATGCGATAAAAAGCGCTTTTGATCGCTACTAATCTTACTTCTATCTGTTGCGTCTAAAAGGAGAAAATTGATAAAAACGACTCACACCGAAGAACGCAGCGTCCATACAAATTCGGAAAGATGCAACATTCAACTCGGATCGTAAACAGTAGTCTTCAACAAACAGTAGTCATCGATTATTTAATATAAAAATATAAAAATGTCGTCTTCATTATCAAAAATCCTCGAAAAAGGAATAAATGTTTTCAAAAGTAACTCTCAGATCATTTAAAATACAAAATATTATGAAATATTAACTTTATACTCGATAAAAATAATCGAGGACTATTGTTTGTAATATCTAAATGATTTGTTTGGAATTAAATTGATTTGTTTACGATCCGAGTTGAATGTTGCATCATTCTAAATTTGTATGGACATTGGACGCTGCGTTCTTCGGTTAGTCGTTTTTGACAATTTTCTCCTTTTAGACGCAACAGATAGAAGTAAGATTAGTAGCGATCAAAAGCGCTTTTTTATCGCATTAAGCCTGTACCCCCTTTCATTTTTCGCGAACACTCCCTTTAAAGAGTTGGCGTGCCATCCTTATTTGGATGTCCATGTCCGATTCACAACCTTTGTCTGATCAAGGAAAAAAAAGATATCCTTGTTTTTAGATTAAAAAGGATTATTTTTACATGTGGTTTCTCTTTTTAAACGAAAAACAATGAAGAAAATTATATTTTTCAAGCTGTTTTTTTTTACTGTTACTAAGACGAAGGTTGTGAATCAGAAATGCCAAACTTTATATTGATGGTTACTCGAAAACTGTTGAACGTTCTAATTATTTTCCTGGGTTATTTCGTCAACCTGAGATTTTCCTTGCTAATAAACATTGACCACATACGAGTCACGTGACACTTATGTTTAAACTTTTGTTGCAGAAGATAATTTCCTCATATACAGGGCCGTCCCAATAAACATGGGAATTCAGTGACGAATTCGATATCGTCTTTTTAAATAACTCTTAGATTTAGTATAGTGATACCTACTGAGAATGTTGTAATCCGTAAGAGTTTCGTCTGCTATGTTCACAAATTGCAGTATACAATAGAGTAAACTTGTCCGTCTTCACTGTTCATCTTGCAGAGAAATTATTCCTTTCTGGTGAAATTAATTGAAAATGGATATTTTTCAGAGCAGAGGCCGAATTTAAAGAATCTGAGCAGCGGCTTAAATTTTAGCCGCGGCTCAAATATGGTTGGTTTCACTTAAAATTGTATTCAATTTTTAAGCCGGCGCTGAATTAAAACCAATTTTTGGGGAGTTGAGACGCGGCTTAAATTCATTAAATTCGGACACAGGTAGATCTAATTAGACTTTTTTCAGAAAAGGGAAAGGTACAATCATAGATTGGGCATGCAATTCTTGAGCTTTTACAACTAAACAAAAAGTTATTTTTTTATTAATGACAAATATGTATTTCGGTCAAGTCCGTACAGGTACTGGTTTAAAAAATACACAAGCTGCTCACATTAATATATTTCATAATTTGAAGTCACATGTATAAAACTAGATAATCGTATTCAACAAATAAAACAAGTAATAACTATTAAATCTTACTTTATAAAGTAATCATATAGTATATAATATGAATTTGTCATTTATAAACGAGAACACATATTCTTAAATAAGTTCTACCATGATTATATTATTTATATAATCTCTAATTTAAGAATTAAATTCATGATCAAACAAAAGTGTTATCTTCGTGGAGAGCTCGTTAATCCGGTGTAAGTCCTCTGAAATAAAAATAATAAAAAAACTAAAATATTTTAATCTGAAAAAAAAGCTTTTTAAACCGGTTGTGGTATGCCCATATGATTTTAGATTAGTTTACTTTACACTGTGCAGTGCATGGTATAGAATGCGCAGTGTACGGTGCATGATGCACAAGGTAGTGTGTACTGTGTATGATGCACAAGGTAGTGTGTACTGTGTATAGGTAGTGTGTACTGTGTATAATGCACAAGGTATTGTGTACTGTGTATGATGCACAAGGTAGTGTGTACTGTGTATGATGCACAAGGTAGTGTGTACTGTGTATGATGCACAAGGTAGTGTGTACTGTGTATAATGCACAAGGTATTGTGTACTGTGTATGATGCACAAGGTAGTGTGTACTGTGTATGATGCACAAGGTATTGCGTACTGTGTATGTTGCAAAATGTAGGGTGAACGCTGTACGATGCACAATGCAGGGTGAACGGTGTACGATGCACAATTTAGGGTGAACGGTGTACGATGCACAATGTAGAGTGAACGGTGTACGATGCACAATGTAGAGTGAACGGTGCAAGATGCACAATGTAGAGTGAACGGTGTATGATGCACAATGTAGAGTGAACGGTGCAAGATGCACAATATAGAGTGAACGGTGCACGATGCACAATGTAGAGTGAACGGTGTACGATGCACAATGCGGGGTGAACGGTGTAAGATGCACAATGTAGAGTGAACGGTGCAAGATGCACAATGTAGAGTGAATGGTGTACGAAGCACAATGTAGAGTGAATGGTGTACAATGCACAATGCGGGGTGAACGGTGTAAGATGCACAATGTAGAGTGAACGGTGCAAGATGCACAATGTAGAGTGAATGGTGTACGATGCACAATGTAGAGTGAACGGTGTACGATGCACAATGCGGGGTGAACGGTGCAAGATGCACAATGTAGAGTGAACGGTGCACGATGCACAATGTAGAGTGAACGGTGGACGATGCACAATGCGGGGTGAACGTTGTAAGATGCACAATGTAGAGTGAACGGTGTACGATGCACAATGTAGAGTGAACGGTGTACGATGCACAATGTAGAGTGAACGGTGCAAGATGCACAATGTAGAGTGAACGGTGCAAGATGCACAATGTAGAGTGAACGGTGTACGATGCACAATGCGGGGTGAACGGTGTAAGATGCACAATGTAGAGTGAACGGTGTACGATGCACAATGCAGGGTGAACGGTGTACGATGCACAATGCAGGGTGAACGGTGAACGGTGCACGATGTACAATAAAGGGTGAAATTTAAGGATTTTTACTTTTTAGCAACTGTTCCTTGCTGTTGAGTGTACAATATTTAGATGTGTTTGTGAACTAAGGTATTCAGGTAATTAGATATTCGGGTTTAGATGCAAAATTAATTAATTACATTACACTTGCCTTTATTAAACGTCAGTTTTGTCACTCTCCTAATATCATTCTAAAAATTTTAAATATAAAACCTTTTCTAAAATATAAATTTAAGTAAATTATAAAATGTTTAAAGGCACAAATCCGGTTCATTTAGGGTACCGGGCAGACTTTTAAACAGCTATTGATCAAGCTGTACAGTGTACAGTGCACAAAAGACGAAACTTGACAGTACACCAAATAAACAAGCCCCTAGCTTCTAGGAAAATGATCGTGAATGACCTTTTTAAAAATGTAGAGTAGGGCATCGTTACTATACCATTTTAAATGAACTGAATTTAATGAATTTGAGCTAGGTATCTGAACTACCGACTGCCGGTTTAAATTTTAACCACAGATTCAAAGTTAACGAGTCAGGAAGAAATAGAATAGGTGATTCAAGTTTGAACCGTCGGTAGGATATAAGCGATCCTTCAAATTCATCAAATTGATTAATAAAAATCTGAGAAAATATTGATACTATTTTTCAATTCCTTCAAGAATTTTCGGTCATAAAAATTATTAGATCCGCACAACATTGAAGGTTTTCCTAAACTTCAAACGTGAATAAAATTAGAAAAATATTTGAAACTAAGTTTAACTGATTTACTTACCTCTAGATATTTGATTTTGTGAAAACTAAAGGGAGCTTTCAGGTCAGTCACCTCCTTTAAAGGGACTGTAGACAAGAATTCAAGTTGCCCTCTATTGATAATCGAGTCCCATTTCCGATTCACCCTAGTTTCCTTCAAACCTTTGTTTAATCACCGACGTCGGAGATATCTGAGCCTGCAATTTTAAAAGCTTCGGCTAGGGTCGTAATTCCTTAAACCTAGCTTTAAGACCCAATCTTGGACTCAACATTAACGACAGCTTGTGTCACGTGATTGACGGCTGCGAGATCTTAGCTTGACTTAAGAGATGGACCCAATGAAAATAAAACCGACCTTGGTTGGTTTTAGTGGAGAATAAGGCTCATATGTTGAGTCTTGTTCTCATAAACACCCGGGATTCGCTAATTCCTACCATGAAAATCCACCAAATAGAATATTGAACCAGTTTTTGAACTCAACTTTGTGGAAAATAAGATGCAGAATGAATTCAAAAGCTCAAGTCGTAAATAGGCTAGAACTAAGTCGTATTTTCTTGAATTTTTTAAATCGCCGGTTTTGCTAAAAAATTTGATCTAATTATTTTCAAAGAATTGTTTAATGTCGTCTTTAATTCGCAATTACAACTATTTTTCAAATCATAACTTTTATTTGCTAATGATTCACTGAAGTCAAGTAATATTAACTTTGGAACATGAATATCAAGAAGTTGAATTATGAAATTCTAGTTAGATAAAAAAAGCTCCGCCATATACAGACTTAAAGGGTACCGTTGAATATGGGACATGTCACTCTACAACTGGAGGCTCACTTGAATGTATAACTACAGTCCCTTTAACATTGCCAGGATTGCAAGCAAACAAGCTTCCTGCACGATCACACTGAAAGAAAACATTTTTAGTCCTGAAAGGATGGGGGGGGGGGGCGTAACCGGAGTTTTTCAATCCGTTCGCGAGGGTTAATTAATGTAATGTTACTATTCGTTTTTAACTAATAAAGGAACTAAAAGTTCAGCTGATGAGTTGAAATTGTACGCTTTTTTAATTTTTCGTGAACGTAACCTTACCTCCCCCCTCGCCAAAAAACCCTATAGTTTTATGCCAAAAATCTGCGAGTTAAATATGTATTTAAAGTCTATTTCTTAAAATTCCCATTAAAATGGGAGAATAGAAGTAACCTTCTCCAAAGATTATTATAGCTTTGGATTGAGAACTTGTTTAAGACCTAAGATGTAGGTTAAAGAGGAGCATAGTGGCAAAAGAAAGACACTAAATTTGAGAAATACATCAACGTTTAAAAAAAATAGGAGTTGTGACAATAAATTCAAAATATCACTTTTACTATCAGGCCCCCACATGGCTTTTATAAACTATATAATCAAAATAAATTCTCTTAATTTCAAAATAACATTCACTCACAAATTAACATTTTAAACCCAATACTATTATAGAAAAAATTACCAACCTTTCAGATTTGATAAGTTTTTTCATTGCTTCTAGGGTTTCCACTTCGATAAAGTATCCTGCCTGAATTAGGCCATTTTTCACCAACTCGCTAAATAAATAATTTATTAATTCGAATGAAATGACCCTCCATGAAAAAATGACAATGCCCGATTTACAAAAGCACCCTTGCAGCCTTAATCTGATCAAAATTATAGATGATACCAAGTGTTTAATTCTGATAATTTCTCCATTGCTTCCAAAAAGCAATAAATGCGAAACTCACTTTCGCAGAGAAACCGCAAAAGAAAATAAAGAATTAAAAGAAAGAAAAGCTGGGATTTCATACTTGATTAGAGATTGAATAAAATTAACCTAATCAGAGATTAAAAAAATTTACCCAATCAGAGACTAAATAAATTAACCTGATCAGAGATTAAATAAATTTAACCTAATCAGAGATTAATAAAATTAACCTGATCAGAGATTAAATAAATTTAACCTTATCAGAGATTAAATAAAATTAACCTGATCAAAGATTAAATAAAATAAACCTGATAAGAGATTAAATAAAAAAAACAGATCAGAGATTAAATAAAATAAACCTGATCAGAGATTAAATAAAATAAACCTGATCAGAGATTAAATAAAATAAACCTGATCACAGATTAAATAAAAAAACCCAGATCAGAGATTAAATAAAATAAACCTGATCAGAGATTAAATGAATTTAACCTGATCAGAGATTAAATAAATTAAACCTGATCAGAGATTAAATAAAATAAACCTGATCAGAGATTAAATAAAATAAACCTGATCAGAGATTAAATAAAATAAACCTGATCAGAGATTAAATAAAATAAACCTGATCAGAGATTAAATAAAATAAACCTGATCAGAGATTAAATAAAATAAACCTGATGAGAAAACAAGTTCTAGCTCCCGGGGTTTCAGCAGAATCAGAATCTAAATAAATAAAAATGTTTTTTTTTTCAAGCAAACCTTGAATTTTAAACATGAATGGCTATAAATGCGTGGTAAGATTCTTTTTGTTCAACCAAGGTTTTCTTATATCTAAGATTGATACTGAATACTTCATGAGTAAAACATCAAGATGATTTGAATGATGAAAAGCAAATTAAAGCTTGAATACAATTTAACTTTGCTGTGTACCTCATTTATTTATATACTTCTGTTTGTTTTGGTTTCTGTTTGTTTGTTTGTATCCAATAAACGTCAAAACGGCTGAACCGATCGGGACCAAATTTTTTTTGGGACCTTGCGTGACCCCACGGAAGGTTTATAAACGATCAAAATTTCAAAAATCCGATTGTAATTAAATTTTGAACATCCACGAAATTATTTAATAAAATCCGCTAAATCTTTGCTTTTATTGTTTTATAATGTATACAAAGAGAAAATGTACACAAATGAAAACGAAGATATGGGCGCCGCCCCTTAAGCCTAGTTTTAAAACATTTTACTAATACATGTTAAACTCGTCAATAATTGCAAAACACTATTTTGTGATATTAATCAGTAGTATAACTGCCAACTATAATTCTTTGCGAAAATGAATATTTAGATCTTAAAACAATCAATGTAGAATTATCGCTTAAATGAAGTGACCGGTATGATGGTATTCAAGGCTTGTTGAGCTCACAGTGAATCCAAAGGCTGCAAGTTATCACACAAAAATGGATGAGAATTTTGATAATTACTTCTTGACTACTATAAACGCTGTGAGGTTCTAAAATGTACATGGCCAGGGCTACAAAAAAGTATTGGCGTGTTGGTAACGTGAAATCAAAAGCCAAGGCATTTCGACACTTGAAATACAACCTAGTCATGAAAAGAGTCCTAACTGTCTAAATCTATGTGAGATGAAAGAGCAGTTTAGAAATAGAATTAGAATTAGAAATTATTTGATGCCAATAGTTTTACAATTATATATTTTTAAGTATATGATCAAAAAATTACTTTCATTAAAGAAAATTACTTTTACCTCCTATACTATATTCCACATTATTCATTAGATAAAGGTTTTAAGGGTATTGTTGGGACCTCTTTTAATGAAGCAGATAATGGTTTGAAGGGTATTGTTGGGAATTCGGAATGCTCCTGTTTTAATGAAGCAGATAAAGGTTTGAAGGGTATTGTTGGGAATTGGGAATGCCCCTTTTTTCATGAAGCAGATAAAGGTTTAAAGGGTATTGTTGGGAATTGGGAATGCTCCTTTTTTCATGGAGAGTCAAATTTAATTGCATGGGATGTCCTTTTCATGCATTAGTATATGATTAGTTACAATTCTAGGCAAAGTATAAAAACCTTTTTTTCATTGTTATCAAATAAATTCTTTTGCAAGACTGTATCTTCAGCTAAGCTAAAGCTCGCTATATCCTTGCCGGTCACTACTTTTCACTTGAAAAATAACTTGAGATCTTGAGATCATCTGTTATAATAAAGCTCTTCGCTCATTCATATGTTCGCTATAAATAAATATATATGGCCAAATTGGCTGAATTTTTTTTTTGAGGGATACCCCGGGTTCCCCATGGGTGGTATAGGCAAATTTTAAAAAAAATACTTCCACGGGCAACTCTGGCTTCTTCAACTAGTATTATTATTAAAGAAAGTGTCGTTGTTAAAAGAAGTTTAACCTTTCATGAGACCATTGATGAAATGAATAAGAGAAGTTTTAGCGGACTCCCCATCAAACTTTTTACTCTGAGGATACCTAGGTTATACAAGTTTATTAAAGGGACTGTAAGCGTAATTTCAAGTGACCCTAAATGCAAAAATGGTAATGCTCAATTCACAACGGTACCCTTAAAAGCTATGTCTGATTAAATAACAATAAATGTTTATGATTTTCAAATCTGATGATTTTCAAACATGGGTTCTCTTGCACTTGCACATTTATTCTGAAGGAAAAAACATAGGATTTATCATAAATACAAACGTTATAAGCATAGATAAACGGGAATATCTTCCATATTATTGATCAGATCAGAAGGTCACTTGAATTACGCGTACAGTCCATTTAAACAGGACTTGAATAATATTGTTGAAGGTATTTATTAATACAAAAACATTCCAACTTTTTTACTTTCTTTCTGCTCAACTGTGGTCCCACTTCATTTTTGTAAAAATGTTAAAACGGTTTCCTTTAAACTTCATTTAGTTCTCAACAAAGAATGGAAATCAGAATATGTTGCGGCATTTATTCGTAACTTACATATTTTAGAAGTATAATTCTAGAGTAAATTATCACAACCCTAATCCTAGCATTTACAAAATGTAATATGCTTTATTCGTGCTTTTAGTATCACCAGAGATGTGAAGAGTTTTGTTCAGATTTGGACATTTTTTGTTTGATATAAAGATTGATAACTGAACAAAATTGATTAAAAATCTCCGGTCCTATGCACACTAATAAACACATTTTGGAAATGCCTTAACTAGGAGAACTTTATGATTATGGTTACAAGAATCATACTTATGTAAAAGTAGGTTTACGTATAAAATGCCGCAAAAAAACGTCCTTTTTAGTCAAGTTTCGTAGGATTCTCTGTCCTGAAACCTGTAGGATTTGATCAAGGTCTAGAAGAGTTCTATCCGATGTTCCTGTCTCGAGAAATTAATATGAAACTTTGTAAATTTTGAGATTTGGCAGTTTTAGACAGATCATATTAAGCAAAAACAAAACTAATCTGAAAACAACGATATCCCAGATAGGTTGAAAAACTCAGGTTTCCTCCTTTCATTTTCCTCTACAGTCCCATTAACCTGGATTTGTAGCCAGCTAGACTTGTTTTAAGCTTCTCACAAAAGTTAGCACTAATCTTGTGGTCGTCTTCAGATAGCTTCTAAACATATAAATGAAATAAGCAAGGTCGGAAAAATTGACAGTTTTTGAGGTCATAACACTAGCGGAAAATTAGGTTTTTTTGGTCAGTTTATATTTTCTCAGGTTTTGCTTAAGGTCGAATTTATATTAAACATGGGTTCTAATAAAATTAATTGTTAAGGTTGCTGAACTACGTACCACCGGTTCAAATGCTTAATAACGGATTCAACTCTTCTTAAATCTTTAAACTTTAAATCGGTGATTAAGGATTTAAATCGGAGATAGGTAGTTTAAATTTATTAAATTAAACAGTTTTGACCTCTGCAGTAAGGTAAGCGTTAATCTTGTAATTGACCTGATCTACTAGGAAATATGTTGATAAGCCTGGGATCCAGTATGGGTGGATCCAGTTCTGTATCTCAGAGCAAACACCTGGAAAAAATATTAAATTTTCGGATGAAAAAATAATCTATAATTAAACTTTTGGAGGAAGAAAATATCTAAAATTAAACTTTCGGAGGAAGAAAATATCTAAAATTAAACTTTTGGGGGAAGAAGATATCTAAAATTAAACTTTCAGAGGAAGAAAATAGTCTAAAATTAAACTTTTGGAGGAAGAAGATATCTAAAATTAAACTTTCGGAGGAAGTTCACTTGCTCAAAACTGAAAAATTTCGCTACAAAAATTAGCCAAATTTACAAGCAAGTTTGAGAGGACATGCAACAAATGACACTATTTAAAGATTTTTTAACATATTTTACAAACAAAATTTGAAAAACTAGCTATTTTTGGAGGGTTTATCGAAATTATGAAAATAAATGTGTTCGAAAAGGTCAGTGTTTTAATGATCAGAAATGTATATATTAAAACATATTTACTATTTTGTAACAAAAAAAGATGGGTGTTTTGTTCAGAATATAAATATACAAAATATAAAAATATAAAATTCTTAACATTTTCCACGAACACTGCTGTTTAAAGGTCTGAAGAAATAATTAAAGGGAACCCAAGCTTTTCTACTTACAATTTGTTTTTGTTTTTCAAATTTGGTATCTAAAAAATTACTTGCGGATTATTTCAGCAGAAACAATAAAGGAAATAATTACTTGAGATTGAGATAAAATTGGTACTTTTTTAATTGAACGTGCCATCTCTTTAAAAGAAAGTTCACTCTAAATTACGTCATCAGTCATTAGTCATTAGTAGGCAGAAAAATATGCTTTTAATATTCCTTACTTGAAGGACTGTCCAGGTTAAAACCAACTTTCTGCAGAATATGGCTATTTGTCAGTCGAACTCTTCTACAATCAACCATCATCGTTGTCAGAAAAATGTAAAAAATTTAAATTTTACAAATACAATTAAAACTGACTGGAAGCGTAATTTCAAGTGACCCTCCATGCAAAGATAGCAATGCCCGATTTACAACGGGAACCTTTAAACCTTAATTTTATCAAAAATGTGAATGATAATGTTTTCCTGACGCATGTAAGTGTTAATATCTGATAGTTTGTATACGCAAGGTATATGTTATAAGAGAAACTGCAAATGGAACAGTTTAAGGAAATAAAAACATGGATATCTTATTCTTGCTTAATCTGACAAAGCTTTTAAGGATACCGTTGTAAATCGAGCATTGAAATTTTTACACGAGGATCACTTGAAGCTAAGTTTTAACTTCAGATATTTAATGAATGATAATTTGCCTATGCGCTCCTGCACAAAGATCACAGAGGAATGGATCGTCTGGGCATTCCTTAATCAATCAATCAATTATAGTTTAAGAAATTAACAATATTTTAGAAGTCTAGTGAGCCATTTTAAACTTTAAATACCCCAGCACGTAAAACTAACTACAACGAAGTGCATCCTGCATTTTGATCTACAATTGAAAACCTTTTACAAATAGCGTAAAATATCTTCATACTAAAATAATTAAACTGCAAAGCCCAAAAAACGTATTAAATAAAAATCAACATTGAATGAGTAAAAATGGGTTCTAAAGTTAAGACTCACTGAACTTTTAACAAGGACCTCTAGTTTACCTTGCCAGGGGATGAGGTTATTTGTATTTTCAAATATTATGGAAATCCACTATTCAAAACAAGAATATTGGCAACATTTTTTGTTTGTTTTTACATTAATGCCTGATCCGTCGTTTTGAAGTATATAATTGAATACAAAACAAAACAAAACCCAGACAAGCCCAATATTAAACATTCATATTTATAGTTTAGGGTATAAATGAATAAATAAATATATTTTCACTTTACAGTCATCATTTAAAGGGACTGTAAGCGTAATTTCAAGTGACCCTCCATGCAAAGATGACAATGCCCGATTTACAACGGTACCATATATAGCCATGTTTAATTAACCCCATAAAGCCTGGGGGGTCTAAATCTATGTATACACTAGGGAGGCGTTTTGCGCCGCCCCCCCCCCTAGAAAAAGAACCTTAGAGAATAGGTTTAGGGTTGAAATGCATGTTCATAGTCCAATTTTTCATGGCCAGCTCAAAGAAAAAAATTAGACCGATAACTTTAATAGTTTGCAGGGTGCTAGGGTGGGTGGAAACAAATGCCTAAAAAAGAGTAAAAAAACGAGAAAGAAAATATTTTTTTTGTTTAAACAAATATAAAAGTGTGAAACCTGTTTCTAAATGCATTTTTCAAGGGCTTCTTAAAAATATAGTTTTTAGATCTGTAGCTTAAGTCACAAAGTAATGGGCTATTTTAGATTTTTATCACAGACCGGACTTTTTTCCGCCCTGTATCAAACCCTATAAATAAAAAAAAATATTTTTTTTAACAAAAAATACCTTAAAATTGTTATTCATTAAAAGTCACAACATTTCATTATGATAGTGTCAAAAATGAGAGGACGTAAAAATACAGGGGGCGCCAAACTCCCCCCCCCCCCCAGCCTGTTTATGTAGGGTTTAGTATGAAAATGGAGCAATAGAGAAACTCGAAGAAAATACTTGTTGAGTCAGAATAAGACTGTATCTTATACATTTTTGATAAGATAAAGGTTTCAAGTGTAAAGTAGTAAATAAGGCATTGCCATCTTTTAATAAATGGTTATTTGAAATTACGCTTAAAGTCCCTTTAAACAAAGAATTTTAAACTCACCAAGCACTGATAACTTGCAATCAGGTTGTCAATACAGCTGACACACTTGGTAGGAGTAGCTGACAAGGTAGGGGGGGCTGACAAGGTAGGCGGGACTGACAAGGTTTGCTTGCTGACAGAATCTTCTCCATGTACTACTTAACACAATACAAGATTACAAGTACAGGGGTTAACCACAAAGAGACTTCAGAGACGACTGTACAGAATTTATACGCTTTGTTTTCGTACATTTTTCTTCCCTGTTACTATATAATCGCTTTTCTTTCTTTCTTTGCTAAATCATTAGATAAGCAACTTAAAGAACACATTCAAGTCAGAGGACTTAATTTAACCTCGGGATCATCATATTTGAAGAGTTTTAAGACGTCTTTAGAGTCTTATTCTTTGAGGGTGGGGTAACCAAGTTATTTAGTCCAGGGAGAAAAAAAGAACTTAGTACACGCCTCAAAATATAATTTTATTATCTTTTCAGGTTTTACATCATCAACTCTTCTCTTACAATTAGTCAAATTACGTTAGTAATATCAAAGCTTAACACCGGTTGCAAGCGTTGCACCATGGTTTGAAATTTAAAGTTTGATTCACGTTATCAGCTACCTCAATTACATACAGATAATTAATAATAATTTGTTACCGTCGACATTTGTTTCTTTAGGCTTTTTGTAGAAAACATAAGTTCTGTCTAGACTACTGACATCAGTCTCACTGAAGAAATAGTAATTAAGTTATGCAGTTTGTGTTTAAATTTTTATTTTTAGGAAAAAAAGTTTTAGAAACAAAATTATTTGAAGTACTATAGTCGAAAGGTCGAAAGGTTTAATGTCTAAATTGGTCCTAAATTGGTCCTAAATTGGTCCTAAATTGGTCCTAAAAGGTCTTTAAGGGTCCTAAATGGTCCTAAATGGTGCTAAATGGTCCTAAATGGTGCTAAATGGTGCTAAATGGTCCTAATTGGTCCTAAATGGTCCTAAATGGTCCTAAATGGTCCTAAATGGTCCTAAATGGTCCTAAATGGTCATATATGTCTATTTGTCTATATGTCTATTTGTCTATATGTCTATATGTCTATATGTCTAT